TTTTTTTTTTTTTTTTTAAGTCTACAAACTCCAGAACTCCCCATTCTGAAAACTGACTGCCTCATTGGTTATGTATCTTTTGAACTTTGCATAGTTATTGGTGCCTTCTTGAAAGCAGAATACTTTCCTAGAAAAGGAATCACTGAAGTTTACCAGGCTGGAAACTTCAGGGACTGGAGATCACCTTTTAAGTGTTTCCAATTCTGACCAGATCTGTGTACATGACTTAAACCTCTGCTTCTAGGGCCATCGACTGAAATTTTAAATGGTGACCTCTTACTCCTGGAGGTATTTGACTTAAGAAATGGGAAGAGAATGATTCTCAGAAGATGACTAACCCTGTGCTTCTGTAAATTAAACCATTTAAAGATAAAAAATACTAAAAATAAAGCCACCTAAACCCAAGGCTTTTGAAAATGTTACCCAAATAATCTGTGATCTGCAAGGCTCTTCCTGTTTGTACACAGGCTCAAATGTTTTCGGAAGTAAACAAAGGGTGAAATGAGGACGGAGCAGGGATTTTTCCACATGAGGCTATTTCTTCGTTGTAGCAACTAGGGGAATGAAAAGTTCTCTGAGAAGCCCTATGACATTTCAGAGAAAGAGGCAGTTTCCCAGAAATTCTGCGAATATCCTGACCTTCACAGTGCTAGAATTTCTACATCACTCTATGCACAATGGCCCAAAAGCATGATGCAAACACTGGTCAGTCTCGGCAGTGCCCCACTCTGACCTACTCAGCCTTCATCACAATTACCCTGGAGGTTCAGTGCTCAGCACCTGGGTTATTCACACTGCCTGGCAAGCCCTGTGTGTCTACACTGACCTTACATCCACCCATTTCTGTTAGTAGCACTTCTGGAGACATACCACATCCCATAGCTTATAACAAATCTCAAATAAACTGCAGTGGGACTTGCCTGTTTCTCTAGATACCTGTCAGCATGCAAATGGTTTAGCTCACAGCCTCTCTGCAAGATTAATGAAATGAGAATGGTCCCTAAATTCTATCCTGTAGCAAATCACATAGCCAATTTTCAAAAAAAAAAGGAACAGTATTTGGGGTACTGCTCAGCCCATGTTACATCATTAATCCCATGTTTTATACATAGCCTTAGTGACAAAGTTATATACTTCTGGACCCTATGTAGCCCTTTGCTCTAGTTTGGGAACAAAAGCACAAAACCTTAAACTGAGCAGGTGGTACAAGACACAGCATAATGCATTTTTATGGACCTTCCATATGTCCTTTCCAATATGCAGTGAGATAAATTCTCCTTTCTCTTACATTCATGCGGTCCCACTCAAATCTCACAGTTTAGTACCATGGCAAAATTCATGCTGTCCATGATGCATTCTTTTTTTTTTTTAAATTAAACAAAACAAAACAAAATCTCAAAGGCCTGTCCAGGTATCACAAATTTGTGCCAATTCTCATTCCTTATTTAACTCAACCATATTATGCCCTGAATCACCTTGGCAAACTACCTACGGATTTGTATACCTAATTGCTTCTTCCTTTATCTCAGTTTCTCCAGTCCTGAAATAATGGTAGTGATGCAAACCTGACTCCAAAGTTGTGACATGAAATTGAATTCATTCAGTGCTCTTCAATACCAGAAGAGACTTACAGCTGAAAGGTGCCACAGAGAAATACTGACCAGCATGTTTGGGTATTTCTGTGTGCAATATGGACTTTAAATATTATTCCAAAATGACCATACATGCAAGATGTGTTCAGACTCCCATATTTCTAATAATGTTCTCTCAGGAACGTCAAAGCTTAAAATCTAAGAAATAATTGCTCTGTAAGTGCATGCTAATGGCTTGCTTTGCAGATGGAAAATAAAAAACTTATGTTTTCTTGCAAGCACCAGGTTGCAACTGGTTTATTTCTTTCAAAAATACTCACAAAAGCCAGGATTTCTCTGTATATATGTGACCTTGATTCCTAGATGGCACATGGACTACTCAGAGATCATGTTACTAAGTTATTTGCAGTTAAAGGGGAAAAAAGGGTAAAATTAATGGGTCACTGGGTATTTTCTTCTGAGAACTTAAGTACTTAACAGTAAGAAAAAAACAGTTTACAGCCAGGTGGCTTGAGGGGATATTTTGTTGAACACTGATTAAAAATAATTTCTTCTAAATGAGACCTGACCACAAAATGGGACCATTAACGAGCAGGGACATTCTCACCAGAAAGGAAACTACGCTTGATCAACTCCTGCACCGCCCACAAACCCCAGGTCTTTTTCTCTCTCGCACACATACTCTCTCTCTTTTTTTTTTCTTTCCCTTTTTCTCCCCTCCCCTTTTCTTGTTCTTAATAGCAGGGTAAATAAGCAGCAAGTGATGCTGAAATGTTTTCGGCCAAAAACAGAGGCCAAACTCCTCTGAGAAAACATTTGGCCTCTGTGGTTTTGTAATATGTTCCAGAACACTGAGTTCACTGAAGAACATTGTGAAAAACTCCCATCGGCTGGAGTGATGCTGGGGAATGTTACTGTATCCCAACTTCCAATTGGTCCATTTCCTGCAGGCCTTGTTAAAAAAAAAAAAAAAAGAAAAAAATAGTGCTATGTGGGAGTTAAAACAAGTTCTCATGGGAAAAATGAATGGCAAGAAATTCTAGCTTTAAAAGAAACAGCTAATCTGCTAGTTTGATTGTTCTTCAAAACTTACAATGAACCAATAATCCTAATTAAAAACACTTGGCCTAGTTCTCTAAAGCATCATAGCTTTTTCTATGCTTCGTTTGTACACACCATAGACTATTAGATTTTTTCTAGTGCTCACTAACAAAGTGCTGACTTTGTTGGGATGGCTGAGCTAATTTCGTGAACTCAGTGTGAAACCTTAGCTAAACAAAATTGTGGTAATTTTCCTTAATTTGTAAAAGTGATTGGAGTGCAAACAAAATTTTCCTCTTGGGTCAATCCTATAATTTTCAATTAACTAAAACTAATCGGCAGGCGTGTACTGAACCTGCATTTTGTTTAAAGGGCTGGAAGGCACTTCTGAAGGTCAGGATGCATTAATTGTTTTTATTTTAGTTTCATTTAGTCTTTTCTAAAAAGCCACATTTAAGTTCAGGCTGCCTCTAAAACGAAAATGCAAATTGTGTGAGGTACAATTTCAGTCACAATAGCTCTTTTGTAGCTACCGTAACTCCACAAAAGCTGCATAAGTACGAGAATGGTCCATGGATTGGATCACCTTTGATTTTATCATTGTTGTTTAGAATTTCATAACTTTCATTTACTGAATGAAAAATAATGTGTTTTAACCTGAAAATGCATATATGGAAACACTCTCCCTACTGGGACACCTTATTTCCACATTCAGCCATGTGCTTCTGGGCAGACAGGCTAAACTGCCGCCCTCTCTTTTACTAGAAAAGCTAATTAATGATGATCTGAAAACCAAAACCAAAATGGGTTCAAGCCATTTTTACACTTAAATCACAAAATTAAGTCCCCCAAAGCTGCTGCTTCTGCATGCATGCTTGCCATTTCACCAGCCCAAGATGCAGCCACCCTGGTGGCTTGACAACAAGCAGGCCAACACAACAGCACAACTTACTGTGATTAAGAAAGTGAGAAGGGAAAGGATTCATGGCCAAACAGTCCAGAACTGTGGCTGACACTTTCATGTGATATACACTGGCAATTTGCACCCACTGGCTATTTGACCCTTTGCTTTTTCTTTTTATTTTGTTACAACATATTCAAACCCTAAATAACTTTTTTGATATGGTGCATTATTGTCCAATATATGAATTTCCCACACATTGTTGAAATCATAATGCTCACAATAAATACACACAGCCTCCACAAGCACCTGCTGCTCAGCCAGAAAGGTGATACACAAACATTTTAAGACCCAGTTGAAAGAAACCCAGCACATAATCCCAACTAGGAGTGAGGGTATTTGGAAAAGACAACAAAACTTCGTAAGGCACCTTTGCTCAACTTGCTCAGTGTTAAGAAAAATCAAATGAGAGCTTTGCTATCCAGCTGGAGCACAGAAGTCTCTCCTCTGCCTTGAGTCCTGTGTGTACATTCGCAGTTGGAGCAGTACATGTGCCTGTAATTCAGAATGCCTCACAGCCACAAGTATTTATGATATATCTTAAAGTTTCGGGGGCAATCAAGAATGGGGAAAAGAATTGCACTAGATTGTGATGAACCACAGGTCAGGCAGTTACAGAAGTAGTCCTGTCTGCATATGTCAAATGACAAGCACATCAAAGGACAAGCACATCAAAACCTGGACCAATTCATTAATTCTTGTAGCATGTATACCTTTCGAGGAATCAATGACACACTTTTTTTTTTAAAGTTAGGCTGCTACTTGATTTATTTCCCAGGCCATTCTTATCACTACTGAGACAGCACCTGCAATGTCCTAGCACCTTTTTTTGTTAATAATTCTTCAAGCCAAACCACTTAGTGGTCTCAGTGTGGGATGTCACCCCAAAACACACTACAAGTCACTATGTCTGCAGCATCACCTGAGGGGACTCCCTGAAAGTCAGACACTAGTATGTTATGGTGAGATGGGCAGGCAAACAGGCTGCTGCTTTTAACACTTGCAACACTTGCTGGACAACATGAGATGGAGATACCTAGCAAGACACTTCTTGGAAGGCAGGTTCATGATTGCACTAGTATGTCTGGTTCTTTATACTTGCACTCTTCCTCTGTTTAATTACTGGAGTATCTGTTTCTCTCCTTCCTCTGCCCTCCTGGGTAAAGAGATGTCCCACTGTGAGGACAAACAAGCAAACAAAACTCCCATACTGGTATGTTCTCAGATTGATCTCTACGGTCATCCACTTCTGAAATCCAACCTTAAATTGGTACTTTCAATGACGTGCTCAGCCAAAATAATAAAATACAGTACAGCTTTGAATGATGAAAGCAGAAGCCCTATCAAGTGTGATATATTGCCTGCCCTATTTCTCCATGTTATATCTAGTACTAAAGCATCCTTACCTGTGTAAATGAATCTTCCAGGCGTTCCCTTGCAAAACTGCTTAGACTTGTAGGACAATGTGACTTCTACAACCCCTGGGATATGTCGGGGAGGCGTCTGTACGCGGATGGCATGAGGAGTAATCAGCTACAGGAAAACATTGAGAAGGGAGAAGACAGGGGAAAAAAAAGCACTGTTAGATGCTGAACACTTCTTTAATAACACTTTCCTCTCAGATCACAGTAAACAAGCTTTGAAACACGTAATTAACCTGTCAATGTTTGAATACAATCTTGATGTAACCCACACAAAAGCCAGTGACTACAATATTTACAAGCATTCTCATTCTCAGCTGTAACAACGTTATTTCTGTTTTCGTACATGGCAGGCACTTGCTTCTTAGTACAAGCATTAGCCCTGGTTTAATGCAATAACTTTAGCTTACAGCAGCAGGATGCCTATGTTTGCTCAGGTGAACACTGAGGTCATGACGGTGTCCAACAAACCTGATTGATAAATGATATGCAGTTACATGTGTGAACACGGCACAGCACAAGCCCCAGCTGAGATGCGCTGCACAGCCCAAGCCCAGGCAGGCTTTTAAATGTACCGGTCCCCAGCTGACACCTGTACACTGCAAAAGCACCATGTGCTGCTGTTTTAATTTTCTATTCATTTTGTGAAGGTATAACTGATTACTGCACAAAGGCAAAGTTTGGCTTCTGAAGGATGCTGGATCTTTCCTTGCAAACGCTCAGAGTACTCAAACAAGATATACCAAATAGAGAGATCTAACCATCACTTCCAGTCTGCCTTCGCTGCAGTGACTGACGCACATCTGAGAGGGCTCCTGCAGATGTGGATTTACACAGTAATAAGCAGACAAACTTCACTTCCTTGCTATTGGGGCTGGGGATCCTGATCCTCTTAAGACAAAAGGTTGGGGTGGGTCAGTGCTGCACTTTCCAAGCTGTAGACCATTTTTGCTCTTTCAGGATTCTGGACCAGATTTAAAAAATAGTCCCTGAAATTAATATTAGAGCCACCATCTAGGAGTTCACTAATTTATGGCAGGTTAACTCAAATCTCCGATGCACTCAGAAACTACAGCATTGTCCTCCCCATCACTGAAATGTCCTCTTCTCACTCATTATGCTCCCTCACACAAGAATAGGAAAGATGTGATTGTGTCTAGCAACTAAGATACAGCTCTGGCACACAAATAATCCTTCTCTAACCAACTGTGGCACTTTAACACACTTCTAGAGAGGCAAACAAGACCAAGATCATAACCAGCCTTGACAGTTAGGAAAGCCATGGGAACACTATGCAGACAGTCAACAGCTCTATGCTGTTGGTTGAATTGTGTCCTGAATTAGGGAACACATTTCAAAAGATTCTTTTTTTTAAAAAAAACCAAACAAAACAAAACAGATTTTGTTCTTATATTTACTAGGAACCAAATATTTCAAAATTGTAGTAAAGTCCTACCACAAAATCAGACTTTTAACCACTTCTTTGTTTAGGGCATAGACTGAAAAAGCACAGAAGGAGAGTAATGTCTGTCTGAGAGCCATCTGTGTTACGTAGGGAAATGGCATACGCAGTAGGAAGTTCTCCATATTTAAAAAAAAAAAACCAAAACAAACCAAGTTGAAGATTAAAACCAAAACTACCAGCATCAAATGGCCCAAAAGTTATTCAGATCCACAGAAGTCAGATGTCATTTTAGAAATTATCACGTAGGAATTGATACCTTCTTGTTTGTGAGCTGCAAAGAATGTGTTTTCAGGCTCTGCTTAGAAGTCAGATGATTTACAAACATTTATTTTTAAAAGAAATTTGCCTTCCTTCTAAATTACTCCCTCTATCAACTGGGTCAAAAAAAACCCCAAAGCCAAAATCCAAACTTCCAAGGATTGCTTTTACTTAAATTGAGTTGCCTTACAGTTGGGCTGACCAAAGCCTAAAAGTCTAGGCCAATTCTCTACACACCCTCAATAGTCAGAAAGCACTGCCAAATAGAAATTTATTTCCAGTGCTTTAGACACCTCTCACATTGGGATGAGCTGCTCTCTGGAAGCATCTACCTTTCTCCAATGAACTGAGATTACGAGTTTAGACTAGATGCTTAACTATAGGCAGCCAAACATAGCTGAGATAAATCCCTTCCTCAAGTGGTTCTAGTTAACTGGGTGAACTGGCAAGATGAGATAAGTTTCATGACATTTTTAGGGGGAAAATATTTGTAAAAACAGTCAAGGATTTTAATAGTAAAAGTTAACATGCTAGTCTTACTACATCAGCATGTGCCTTGCACCCCTCACCCCCATTCTGGTATGAGTTATACAGGCAGCTTCTGGTTGTATCTTTGAATTTCCCAGCATTTACTGGTCTGTCACCACTTTAATGTTCTTTAAACATAATTTGTGGCATTTTCCAATACTCATCTTCCCTGGTTCCCAAGAAATGTCTGACCTATTTATGGTCCATTGTTACAGAGAGCTGGGGAGAGTTAAGCAAGTTTCCTGGTTTGTTCTCCACAAACAGTTTGGTTTTCCTTTGTGCTCTGAAGTAAATAAGTTTAACTGTGTTTAAAACCACAAATATACAATAATGTTGCCCACACATTCCCAAAGGGTGAACATTATGTCTGAAGTCCTATGGTTTAGGATGCTCAGGATATATTTACTCTTCTCTTCTCTAGAACTAATGCTTGGGAGGTATACCAGGAGAATATATATGCCTTTTCCTTTTGCTTTTTCTCCTCAGCATCTGCCACTGACCACTGTCAGATACATAGTTCTGAGCTAGAAGGACCTTTGTTCTGGGCCAGCCTTCAGTTCTCATGCACAGAGAAAGGAACTGGCTAGCTTGGTTACATACCAATAGTCCCCTGTATCACTGTCATATCAAGAAATTGTCTTTCACTTCAAAACCTGCCCTCTGAAACCCACCTTTGGTCTCAAACTCTGATTCCCCAGTGCTGCCAGGAATGGACCGGGACCAGTTCTCCAAACTGCCCTGACTCTGTTTTGCAATCTGAGTGACCCAATGGGTGCTGCACAGGTCTGGGTACTCCACACCCACCCACAGCAAGAGCACATCTACCCCTGACTATGTTAACTCCAGGGTTATGGAATGTCTTCCTGCCTACACTGTCAATCTGTGGCCTGACTTTGGGAATCCACTCCACCTTTTCCGAGCATGTTTTCTCCTCTCACACTGACGTAGCCTGTCTCATATTTGCATGTGAAACATCTTGAAGAGGTGAGCTATTAGCATCAAGGGATACTAAAAGTAAAGACCACACTTCTGGAAGCCTCTGAGCCCCAAACAGTTGGAGACTGGTACAGTGTTCTGGGGAAGCATCACAACAGGGTCATCCTGTTGTTTTTATAGACATTTGTCATTGCCCACTGTCAAACACAAGATATTGAGCTAGATGAACCTCCATGTCTGATCCAGTATGGTCATTCGTATGTTCTAACCTTGGGTGGGAACTCTTGGTGCATTAACAGACAGCATAACAACCTTAGCAATGAGATGCCAAGAACTAAGAATTTGTAAGTATGAGTTACATACATTTCTACATTTTTAAAATGTAGATCTTGAGCAAGGCATTAACCTGTGATTTGGGCATGAACCCACCAGCCAAAATCCCAGATCCAGCTTCCTCATCCATTCCAGCATTTGGAAAATTGAGATCTGGAGCTGAACGCACAACTAGTAACTGGACCCTTTCTCTCAAGGGATTTTCAAGTGGATTGGTCTGATACAGCAACTGCATTAGCTGTTTGACTTAAACTCTTACATGTCAGCTGGGACATGCAGTGGATTGCATTAAAACCTGTTAGACATCTTCAGAATGGAGGGAGGTGCATGTCCTTCAAAATCCAAAACACGTTTGGTTTGAGTACATACAACAAGCCTCCTTCTGTGGTTTGCTAATATATTCTAGACATTCTTGTGTGATACAGCATCATTTCACACTCTTCAGAGTGCCAGGTTACTTTCTTTTTTTAAAAGTGACATTTTATAAGGAGATGTCATTAATCTGAGTCACTAGTTTATTTTTGCATGCTTGAGCTCTGGTTTGTGGTTAGGGAAATGGTGACAATCAGTCATAAATTTAACTTGGACTCTGAGTGAAGAGGACCATTAGGACAGGAATGAAGAAAAATCCCACCAACTGACGGTAATGACAGCCTTCAGTGAGAACAAGACCCTTACGGTACCTATGTTTTAAAAAATGACCAATGACTTTGCATGCCTCAATTCTGGGCATCCAGATGCTGCTTAATAAGCTTTGGTTTTCAAAAAGAGATGCCTACTCATTTTTTAAAAATGAGTCAGACCTCCAAAATAAGCGCTCAAAAACAGAGACTTCCAAAATCAATAATAAACATAAAAAGCAAAATAAAAAACTGTCACCGAATTTGATTCATCAGCATTAAAAAAAGACCCACAAAAAAAACCCAACAAAAAATCATCCTCTGTTTTTGTGCTGTACAAAGGTAAAAAAACCCTGATGTTTCAGTACTTCGTCTTTTCTTAATATAAAAGAAAAAGAAGTTGTTTCCAGCTGACTCTGTACAGCTGCAGGAATGTTCTTGGCAGAAAAGTGTTTGAAGAAATAGTTCATTTTAAGCAAATATTGTGGAATATTTATAAGAAACTAATTTTGTCTTCATAATCATGTTACTTGCCCTGAAACTCGACGCTCGGAGTTTCAGTCCCCCCATAAGAAAGAGAAACAACAGAGGATTTTTATCAGCAGCTCAGTTTTGGAATATTTGCAACAAAGCACAGACCCAGAACGCTTGGTAAAAACCTGCAAATAACAACTCCGTCTGTTTGTGGACTGGACAAACAGAAAGGCAGAGTCTATCTGGCAAACAGACTATTTGCTGGGAGTTGTCTGTCCAGATTCAGCATGTGTGCAGGATATACCAATGCCGTTTGCTTGTCGATTACGAAAGTCCCTTGAAAAAAAGGCATTAGATGGCCCATTTTGCTGTATTCTAAAAATATCAAGGGCTTTTCAAGTCATTTTTATAAAGTAATATGGGAGTTAAGGATTAATTGAACGTACTGGCTTAGGGTATCTGCATTTCTGCACGAAATTAATGTGACAAATTAAGTTTTTATTTAGTTCTCCCTGGCTGAGAAAGGCTGTAATTATGTTAGAGTGTTTACAGCTAAAATATATGTTTAAATAATAAATATGTGTTTCAGAAACCATTTTAAACCTCCTTTTTTAACACAGTCAACTCCATTTCAAGCATATAAATATTTCAATTACAAAAGTCGAATACATGTAAAATAAATTAAAAATATATTATTTACATTTCAAATTATTTATAACATATGCTGCTTGACAACCACAAATTCACCCTTAAAATTAACAATATTTTTTTTTTGGCTTCTAACTGTGCTTCTGAACTGTGGTAGGATTTATATATCCATGCATCTCAGGTAGTTACATAGATTTTGCTATAATAAAATCTGAGTAATATAGGACCGTTATGATAATTATCTTCACCTCTCCAAAGAATGTGCCTCATCTTATTACTATGTTAGAGAAAGGGAATTGAACTTTAAGAAGATTATGTGATTTGCCCAAGGTCCCATGCAAAGTCTGTGGCAAAATGATGCTTAATTTAAATATTAGACTTCATCCCTCAAACCACCTCCAGTTATAACTGAAAGTGAAGCTAGAAAAATCCATGTGAAAATGCTCTGCAAGACTCACTCTTTCTTTGGTTTCCACCTATCTAGTTTTGGTTTGGATTTTATGCAGCTTAGTTAAAATCATATTTTCTTTGGATCCATGAAACAACAGGATGAACTTGAAAATTCTTCTTGAATTCAATGACAAAATAACCTGGCCAGGTTTGCCTGACTGGTAACTCAGGACTTCAAGTCTGAAGATCGACAGTTCAATTCTACACTCTATTAAAGTAAAACAAAAATATTCTTCCTAGGTACTGAAAACGCACTAGATGTTTTTATGGGAAGGCAAACGAAAGAACTTATTTTGTACTTCATAGGTGGTTGGTATGTGTAATTTGAACTCTGCACGTTTATCATGTTTGTCTGCTTTTTTAAGAAATAATTTGTTTTCCCCTATAGGATTTCCTATTGCCCTCATAGGTAATGAAACTGAGAAGCAATTCCGTAAGGGAGAGACAGTGAAACAGTTTTCACTCGAAGCCAAGTTACAGCATTCACTACTAACAGACTGACTTTGGTCTGGGCCCCCTCTAACACTATTATTTTTATGACAGGGCCTTGCAACCATCAGCAACAATGTTTTGACCAGCACTCACTCTTCTGAGAGTAGAAACTGACAATTAATGGCTTCCACTAATAAATAGAATCTAGATTTATTACAAAAGATCCAACTCTGCAGTACCAAAATCAGAGCACTTTCCTCCCAGTCTCTTCACCTTTCCCTGTTAAATGTCTGTAGCCATAATAGCTTCAATCCTAACACACAAAATGCTTACACTGGACCCAGGGGGCACTTTCATGATCACATAAGGGCTTCAGAACAGGGTTCATTTAATATATCTCCTTTTCTGGAATGCCCTTTCATCCACACTTCTCCTCAAGTGGAAGGATGAGAAAGACAGAGAGAGAACAGAGAAGCCCGTGAAGGACATCAGAGAATAGTCTTCATATGGAAAAAATGCTGCCACATGTGCAATGGAAACAGTAGGGGGAATGTGCTGGATTTGAATTAAGCTATAATGTTGATTTAATATTTAAAGGATATAAGGCAAAGCATCAGAAGACCTTTATGTCACTGTGTAAGCACTGTATAACTAGTTCAGAGATGCTGGTTTGTCTATTAGTGTGTTTATTTCAGTATTAAACCCATGAAAATACCAATTTCTTATAAAACCTCCAAAATGCTTTTGAAAAGCCATAAATGCAAAATGTAAACCTTTCCTTGGAGCTGCCTTCCTGCGCTAGTGAAGCCAGTGGGAACTCCACCCCAACTTCTATGGCCCTGTGCACTGGAAGTGGCCATTCAGGTAATGCTGCCTGGGTTTTAACTTTCCAGGGGCTTTTGGGGAGTATTGGACTCCACATTTAATTATGTGCCAGGAGAAGAGAGGATTTAAGAAACTGGGAGGAATAGCAACAGCAAAAAATGGATAAGAAACAAAAAAAAGGGTTACCGTGAAATTACAGAAGCTCCGCTAGGTATGACAAGTCTGTAATTTCCACTGTGGATACAATACTGTGTATTTGGTTGCTATTACGCAGATGGTACTTACACCAAGTGCCTACACTTTAAGGATATTCTATTCAGAGGCACTGAATTTTGGCAATCTCCACCTCATTGAGCTGCAGCTACAAGTAGCCAGTTTCCCTGGAAAGCAGGACCACCTAAACGTTTGTTTCCTGTGGGCCCTTAGCAATTGTAGTGCTAAATGCAGAATTACTCACACAGGCATTTATCCTTCCCTTTTCTTGGAATAAAAGGCACTGAGCTAAATTCTGGGCCACTGAGAGGAGATGCAAATCCCCTGACTATAATGGATTTCTGCCACAGGTAAATTTGACTAATTATTTTCATAAGACTGAATGAGGAAAGGACTCACATCTCAACATTTGTTGCTGATTTAGCATGTGGCATAGAAAAAGGACAGGCTAGCTATAAGCTAGACAAAGCTATTAGACATTACCGTTCAGACAACACCTACCTCACTCCAAACCAGCATGGTGCCGAATATGACCTGTAACCCATCAAAGAAATTGTCTCCTATGATGATGACAGTGGCACCTCCTGTAGTCCATCCTTCACTTGGACTGATGGCTTTGATACATGGTGTAGCTGCTTTTCAACACACATGAAAAAGAGAAGTATTCTGCTGTTAGAACCAGATTTTAATGATAGAAGACTTGAGAAAAATAAAATAAAAGGAGCTTTCATTTCCCCCCCTTACTAACACAAAGATTTCAGCAATCACGTTCTTTCTAGTACATGTGCATGACCCCAAACTATATCCTCGGAAGCATTTTTTTCTCAATTAATTTCTGTTTGGTTTTGTTATCTGCATTGAAAAAATTAACTTTTTTAAGCCTACATTAACAAAAAAATCACAGCATGATGGGCAGAGACCAACTGGAAATCAGGACAAACCCCTATTTTTATTCTATATGAAATGTGCAATACCTGGGTTAATAAAACAATCTTCAGTGAGCTTGCTTTATTATCCATCATAACCTAAATTCATCAAGGAAACTCTTATAAATATTATGGAAAATATTGGCTAAATAAGAAAGGGTGTAACCCTCAGCATTTCTTTATTCTGCAACCAGATACAGGTCGCTCTAGTATTAAATCACCCTGCCCTGCCTAATGCTTTGGCTACTAAAAAAAACCAAACCAAACCAAAAAAACCCAAAAACTTACAACCCTGGCATCTAGTCAATCTAGTTAAGTTGCATCTACTGGATAATTAAGAAGCACGTGCAATGTATTCTGCCATATTCATAGAGTCTGTCCCCGATTTCACTAGCCACTTTCTTGGCATCATGTGTACCAAGCGCCTCCTGAGAGGATGTTGAAAACTCAAGCACTGCTCAAAGTAGTAAGCTCAGATCTTGGTGTAAGATCTTCTGGGTTAAGACTATCTAAGCAGAAGCACGCTCAACTTTATATATTGCTGGGATAGGGCAATATAAACATCCACATGCTGATTCTCCTCCTCTGCAGTACCAAAGTATATCAGAATCTAACTGTGCTGAAGTAACAGGGACAACATCACTGTAAAAATAACCTGAATAAAATAAAATGACCTGGGTAACTCTCAGCTGTGGAGTCTCAGGGTGCTCATAGAGGTTGATGAAAAGAAGTGACTACATCCCAAATGACACCAACTTCTCCTTGCTAATACAGCCTGAGGTGAAAATATGACCCCATACCATTAGATAACATTTTAAGTAAAGCCGATACCTCAACAATTTAATGAGCCATGAAAAACGGGTTCCTTAAGGAAACTCCACCAGTCAACCTCAATGTTGAAAAGAAAGATTCTTTCCTTTAGATATGAACCCAGTCCTCAGCAGAGAGGCTGGCTCCACTCAAAACACATGAAGAGCTGCCATTGCCCACACTGATTCTGCAACGTCAATTAGGTGTCAATCAGCAGGACTTCATTAGCTGCATATAAATATATATATTTGCACACATATTCCTTAGTTTAGGGTTGCTGGCATTTGGCTGTGAATTGCTACTTGGTCTAAAAGCTGTCTGAGCTGTTAATTTGGTTTGTAACTTTGAGTATTTGCTGACGTACTCAAGGGAGGGCACTCAAGCACTTCGTCAGGTAAGGATTTACTAGGAAGACAGGGGTGTGAAAGCTCCCCATATGTTAGCAGCATCCCGGACAACACCCTTGCACTCATGAATAACTTAATGTGGCTGTACATTGGCACAGCCCCTGCCCTACATTCTTCTAATTGTGAAGACAGTAAATTAATTCATTCACAGAAGCCTATTTGAAACTGCTCCAGACATAAAGCACTAAAGAGACTCAGTGCATCATTATGATTATTTCGTGAAGTTCTGGTCAGTTGGAGCTAATTGCAAGAGGCAGCGAAGCTGGTAAGAAGCTCCTTCCTCCCAGCCCCTGGGCAGGGCAGCAGGCGTGGAGCTGGGAAGCAGGAGGCAGCTGGAAAGGGAGCTGTTGAGTCACCCTTAGCAGTGAGTGTTTCTGTGGGCACTGCTACAGACTCGCACCACCGGTGATGGAACGCGTGCACAGGGAGCAAACAGACCCTGTCTCTACCTACAAAAGGTTGTAAGTGTCAAGCACAAACTTTTCCACTACTCAAGCTGATGGGGATGCCAGCTCCAGTTGAAAAACACAAACACATACAGGCAGAAAAAAATCATTACCCTATCCCAAACTTGGCAGAGTATAGCCATTAACTTTTACATGAGCTAACAAAAGAAACATCCTAACGTTACCGTCATGAAAATGTAGTGCGCACACAGAAGTAACTTCAATATGTTTAATTTGGATTCAAGTTACTGGCATAAAACTGTGCATAAAAACCATTGCAAAGTCCAAAACCAAATGCTTTCCTTTCAGCTGAGCTCACAGCAATGGATTTACAGTGAAAGCAGCTTTTCAAAATGCCATCTAGCCCTTTCACAGGATCAAACTTTTTCATAAATAAAAATTAAAATCATTTCCAAATTACACCCTTTCCAGTATTTCCAGTTGATTGTGGACACACATGCCCCACAATAAAACCCGAAGATAATCAGTTTCCCATGTGTCAGAGAATGAGCTACTTTTCTTAAAGACTACAAGCAACATTTTTTTCCTAAATACCAGTGAATAAAAACTGCTTGAGACCATAAGCCATTAACAGAAAACATATGCAGGCTTCAAAATTATACATTCAATTCATCTTTAAAATGAATGCAAGACACTGTTCTGCAGTTACAGGTCCCCACTAAAGGTCGTGCTACTTATCTTGTGATGTTCTTTAGACATCAGAGGCGCAAGGTGCTGCGCTGTCTTGTGCTACCTCAAGTATTTGATTCTGATACTTTACACATATATCCGCCTAATATCAAATACATGCCAAGTCCCATGGCAGCCAGCGGGACTTCGAGCAGACGCTCAGGTCCTTGTGCTGGACTGGGGCTGTGGGTTGTTCACTGGAACACTCTTGCCCACAAAGTCAATGTGACCAGTCACACATGTAATTTTATTTAAATATGTAGGAATTGTGCTGCATCAGTGCCTCACCGAAACCGCTGTCAATAGCTCAGGACATCTCCTCTGAGGACAAAAAGTCAGGACTTGGTGGTTTAATAAGCAGGGCAGGTTGGACCCTTTGCAGGCACAACCTGAGAAGCAGTGAGAGTGCTGTGCATTCCTGAAAGGTTTAAGGGCATTATTTTCCCTTGGTAACAGTCACAAAAACCGATTGGACTTCCCAACTTTTCCCACACAGCTTCTCTTATCTTAAAATGCAACTGTCTTTAAAGACTGGAAGGGCTGCACGAAGGTGCTGCCCCACAAGGGCAGCTGTGCTGAAGGGCTGCATCCCGAGGAAGCCTGAGGAGACGTGCCAAGGGAAGCATCCAGACTGCTACCTGGTTTTGAAGGCACAAGACATGTTTATACAATGACATATTTGCAACAGTCAGCGTCGTTTGGGACATTTGTCTTACTAAAACTTTGCCCTTCCCAGGCCCTTTCCTTGGAGCACCAGGAAGGAGGATGGAAGAATTGGGTCCCATTTGCCAGCGTCACCACAGGTAATGTTGGGAGGGGGGCAAGGCAATGACCTCAGCAATATTTATGCCCCTGGTACAAATGTCTGGCCAAGTCAGGCCTTCAGCTCTTCATACTTCTTCTGTTAATCATTTGGCAACTTTCAAAGTGCTGTCTGGAAGGTGTTTACTTCTGTGCAACCCTAGAAAAACAGAGCTAGGCAGAAAAAGTCTTTTCATCAGAGATTTTTCTACATTTTGTTTTGGTCACAAGAGAAACCAAAATACAGAACATTTTTTTGCAGAATGCAAAGTTCCAGAATCTCTATCTGGAATTAACTATAACACTTTTTAATATTTCCAAGAAAAACAAAATATTTTGTTTCAAAATATTATCACTTCACATGTCCTTCTGTAACACCAAAGCATCATTTCTAAAATGGTCTTTTTAAAACAAATTTTAAAAAGTTACATAAAATTTACCTTTTTCTGTAGAAAAAGAGATTTCAGTCAAAGTCTGAAACTTCACTGATAAAAAAAACACTGTGGAGGACTTTAGACCTGTTCCAATAAAGGCAATGAAGTGTACATGATTGATAACATGAACAGACTTCAAGTCCAGAGAAGAATTATAATAAAAGAGAATAATTACACATTCTTACACCTACAAACATTTTTTTTTTAAATGAACAGCTGGCGGCCAACTGCAACCAGAACCAAAAGAGTTTGGTAGCCTAATGATCAGATAAGGCTTTAAGACTCTTTGGCGTGAGTGTACTACATTGGCTGCATGTTTTCAGAACAGTCACTGGACTGAGGAAAAACCGCTCCAACTGCAGGCACGGACCTTCCAGGTCCTTGCTGAAGGTGATGTGGCCACATCCTCCACCTGCTGAAATGGCCTAATGGTTATGAGTCTTAATGAGCTGCTCTCCTTCTTTGCATAATACCAAGACAAATCAGTGCTAACATCTGACATGTTTTACTGTGCCGCTCCTGCAGTTTGAGTTAACAGATATAGATGTCAGAGGGAGGCACTGCAATCCCAAACTTACTGAAGCCAATAGGAATTTTGCCACTGACTTTAAAGCTAAGGTCTCTATCAATAAATTTTAAGGATTTATGAGCAAAAACCTTAATGACTTTCAAGGGAAACAATGTCCTTTTGAAATCTTCATCTTTTCTCAGAATATACATTATTAAAATCTTATCACCTTCCATACAAAGGATGGTAGGTACCAACTTCAGCACACGGGTATCAAAAAGGAAGTTTTTTGGTGTGTGCTGTGTGTATCAGTGTGTTCCTGTGTTCCTGTACTCCCCTAGCTACTGATATACAGGGGATTTTTCTTCCTTCAAACTGTGACAATAAAATGATTACCCCGCCACAGTTTAGCATAATGGTTCAGAAATGCTCGTGGCATATTGCAGAGTTAAAGTGGAAATTATTAGGTAGCTCTTCTTTGTTATAATAATGATCACTCCACAAATAAAAGCTCTTCTCCCAAAGGTACTGCAAGGCAGAAAATGCTAATTCTGAAGATTATGTGTGCACTTTTATTAAATATTACTATGCCCTGTCTGTTTGAGGGCTT